AAGGGAAGAGGTTAGGTGAGGATTAGTCAGATAGGATTAGTCAATCACTAGAGCTCCCTCTAGTGATTGATCTACAAATCTCTATATTTAATATAAGAACATAAAATATGAGAAAGTAAAAACTGCAATAATATCTAAAAGTATGTGCTTTCCAGAAATGGTCCCTAAATTCCCTTGAATTACTTCTATCTGCATACTGTATATGTGGATATATATTAGATCTAAAAAATGTCCCTGGAGAATGTACTGTCTAAGCCACATGCGTCAAACTCAAGGCCCGGGGCCGAATCCGGCCCACCAGGCCATTTCCTAGACTTCTACTTTCAAGATCTAGGTATTAAGTTATTACTAAAACCAGTGATAAATCGAATGCATAGGCAATTATGATAAAGATTAGATACATTTATATAGTCTTACAGATACCTTTGAGGGCAACCATAACCATAAATATGTGGCCTTCTGGCTGACTTTTTGTAGTGGGTTTTAATTACACTGATGTGTGCTTTTACTTACCGAGTTTGCCGTATTCCGTGCGGTTTTAGTAGTGGTTTTTGTAGTGTTTTTTTCTTTTCTGCAAAACTCAGGCTCTTCAACTTTTTGCAGCTGGATCATCTGCAAACAGCCTTCTGCATCTATCTGAAAAAACTGGGAAATTAAGAAAATGGTTAATTTCTCTTGAAATTTCTTCATGGATTTTCTAGTATTATAGGAAAGGACTACACTATCCAAATCTTGCCGCCTCAACCTCCATAATATTTCCAAAATTCGCCCCCTTTTAACAAATGAGACCGCAAATCTTCTAATTCACTCCCTTGTAATATCTCACCTCGACTACTGTAACTCCCTCCTTGTTGGCCTAACACTTAACAGTATATCTCCCTTCAGTTTATGAACGCTGCTGCCAGACTGATCCACCCTACCAACCGATCAGTGTCCTCCACCCCCTTCTGCCAATCGCTCTACTTGCCCAATGAATAAAATTCAGAATACTTACAATAACCTACAAAGCCATCTACAACTCTGCTCCAACCTACATCACCCCCCTCATCTCAAAATATCATCCAAACCGCCCTCCAAAAGACCTCCTGCTCTCCAGTCACTTCCGTGCGTGCTTGCCTCCAGGATTTTTCCAGGGTGTCTCTCATCCTTTGGAACTCCCTACCCCGATCCTCTTATCTCCTACTCTATCTACCTTTAGGCGATCCTTGAAAACTCATCTCTTCAAAGAAGCCCACTCCACCTCGATAGAACTGTCCTTTCACTTCTTCCATTAAATTATCAAGAACAGTTATTACCTTTTGTATCACTTGCCCCTCCCACTAGATTGTCAGCTCTCATGAGCAGGGCCCTCCTAACCCTCCAGTATTAAAATTGTATTGCTAACTATATTGTCACCCTCAATTTTTTAAAGCGCTGTGCAAACTGTTGGCGCTATATAAATTCTGTATAGCACCATTTGAGACGTCTTCCGAGTATCAAGAGCTTATTGTAGCAGGGTTTATATAAATGGGATATACATTTTAGTTTTGGGTGGAGTGGGGAAAAGGTTAAACCTTCTGTCTCGATTTGGTCTTTGTGTCCACTGTCACGAGGATGGAAAGTGATGGGAAACCCAAAATTTTACAGTAGTCACCGAACAGAAGGTGAGGGGAATCTTCCAATATGAATACCTGTTGAACAGAGGATTTTCCCCATGCTTTGGAGAGATCTGCTTTATGTACTGTTCACTATAAATTAAAAAAATTATAATAATAAATAAATTAAAAAAATAAAACGTAAAGAAAAAAAAAGGTAAAAAGCATGAAATGAAACACAAAAACATTAAAAAGATAACCTCCAAACACATACCTGAATGAGAAGGGTGAAAATTGGAGTGCTGGTTATGGTTACACAACTCAGCTTCCTATTCATCTCATCAGCTGTAAAAGAGAAAAAAAAAAACAACTCAAATTGTATATGTTAAGAAAAATTAAAAACATGAAAAACAAAAACGTATGCAGTACACCTTTGCAATACATTTGCATTCCCAGTGTCGTATCTCTTTAAAAACTCTGCAAGTACAAAAAAATACCAGCTGATCTGCCAGAAATGCACTGCTCAAGTCACATTGTGGACAGACAACACACAGCATTTTGTTTACTGAGCGGTGTCAGCCCTGCCCAGTGTCTTTAGATTAACTTTTCAACCACTTCTACTCTCAGATCACCAGATCATGAAGGATAATTATTCTGTAAGTCTAGGATCAGAACTAGATGAGATCTTTGAGATAACACAGAAGTGTGGAGAGGATACAGACTAGGTCTGACAAAATCAGTGTATTTTTTTGCACTTGTCAAACAGATATAACAAAAGGCTTTCAATGGTATTTTAGACCAAAAGGGAGCAAATAAAAGAAGTTCACTGTTCACCATTATGTACACATCATGAAAAATTAAATTACTCAAACAACACATTAGTATGTAAACTGATAACAGAACATAAACCCAATTAATTTCTAAAATTCAACAAGCTTTTCAGTGAACTAAAAAACACTTACTGTTTATGGGTCCCCTATAATAGTCGGGCATGTGTGGAAAATTATTAAGAGTTAAAGCTGACCTCTACCCCTTTGACTAAAAATCACATCAGAATACAGCTCTGCATGCTCATATGAAATCATCTTACATTCATTAGCTAAACAAACATATTTTTATTTTACTTGCAATTTCTTGTTTTCCACGTCCTGCTGCACAAATGATGTAATTGTGCCCAAGCGTTGCATCCTGGGAAGGTTACATCAGCAGAGCATTACTGGAAAATCTCATCTGTAATCACATGAGACCCCCGGGAAATACATTTTTCTCCCCTGAAATGATGTACATGGTCACATGTGACTAGGACATGTGCCAGAGTTCCAAAAATTTAAGGGAGATCTAGTAAACTGCCCTTAGTTAAAATGGCCACTGTCAGAAGACTGGGGAAGAAAGGAAAAATAAGATACACAAAAAATAAAAAGCCGACAATTATCTAGAAGTATCTGTTTGTATGTTGTCATTACTAAACATTTCTAAAATCAGGGCTCTGCTCCTTGATGTAACGGTTGGGGTGGGCCAGATAACAAGAACGTCAGCCCCTAATAACTAGAGAACAGTTTAAATTCAAACCACAGTACATGCACAACCTATAGAAATGAAGGAAGTAGAAAGGATTTTTTTGGAAACAAAATGACAAACCATATAAGGAAAGCAGCTTCCCAGATGCACTACTGAAGCTGTGCACGAGCCTTCAGATAGGATCTTGACAATTATGTACAATAAAGTCAGCATTTGATGGCTTACCCCGAGTTCTTCCTGTAAAACGCTTCTCACGGCAGGTTGACAGTGGAAGAAACACATTTCCTATCCACCGTGCCACAGCACAGAGCAGCTTCCGATCTACTGATGCTCTGTACAGACGTGTCACAGCCAACTGTGACAAAGACCTTCTGGAGTCCTGCTGATCGGTGTCTGAACCTGGAACGCGCTTACTCTGCCTAAATCTCTGGATCTAACAAGCAAGAGAGAGGACAAAAAAAGTTTAGGCATATAAAAGAAGCTTTTTCAGTTTTGGATAGGAGTCGCAAATGGTTATTAGGTATGTAACCCATTTGGGAAATTCTCTTCACTTTCTGTCTCAAATACACAACAGGAAGTAAAATTAGATCTATCCAAGGCAATAAGGAATTCCTGCACAGACTGCTGTCACTAACATTTTCCCTTTAGGAAAACTTCCTCTCATCTGCCCCTGTAACAATTGTTAAATTCTGGATTTCCCATCACTTTCTGTTACCATGGTTACCAGGACAAACAAAGAGGGTAGATATCTGCAATGGGGGCACAGACAATAAAAACCTGGCAGAGATTATAACCCTTTTCTACTCCATCCAAAATTAGCAAAATGTTTAGGTGCACTTTAAGCAACTAACAGCACTGAAAAACTTTCAACACGACAGACATAAGCTGTGGCACAGAATGAAATATGCAATCTGGCAATCTGTTGCCTTTGTTCTCCTGGTTCTTACCAATGGCTTGTAAAATAGCAGAGAGACCTACATATGGGTACACCATGACACATCTGCCATCCATGTGACTGCAGTTCTGCCGTCAAATGTGCAGCAAAAAAAAAACAAAAACAAAAATGCCCTTTTCTAGTTTCTTAAACACTAGAAACCCAAAATGTTTCTGGTACTGAAGACATTCCTAAACAGGTATATTACCCCTCAATCACACAGCTTCAGAATATATTAGTTCCTAGGTTCCCCGCGCTTACGAGTGGGAAACTGTCAACATTTTTAAAGAAGCAATAATGCCTGTTTACATACAAGCAATCCGGTGGCTATTGGATCACTTGTATGAGATACCGATCGGCGTGCCCTATCTCCCCCGCTCCCCCACAGTCCCCTTCCCCTCCGCTGGTCCTGAGCTCCGCTATCCCTGGTGATACCCGGGACCACCACAGCGGTTCTGTGACAGGGGATCAGAGGGAGGTCAGTACACGATCTCCCTCTGATCAGAGTACAAGTACTCGCCCAAATACTCGGTATCGGCGCTGATACTAGTATCGGTGCATCCCTACCCTGGTGTGACCTGCACGCAGCCTTGGTGAGACCCAAATGCATCCCTGGTGAGATTTGCATGCATCCCTGGTGATACCCAAACGCAGCCTTGGTGATATCTGCACAGAGCTCTGGTGAGACCGAAACACAACCCTGGTGAAATCTGCATGCATCGCTGGTGAGATCTGCACGCAGCCCTGGTGAGACCCAAACACATCCCTGGTGAGATCTGCACACACCTCAGTATAAATGCTGAATAATCATAAATTGATGGGATCTGTAGTTCTCTATAGCCAGTTTCGATTGCCGTGTAATCAATAATTATACAGCAATAGAGAATGGCTAGAAGACTACAGAAGACCCTGCGGCCCAGGGTCCAGGGAGCCCCACTGACTACAAAACTCAGCAATCCCAGAGTGCTGGTTGCCAATCTCCATTGCTGAATAATCATGGATTGCTGAGATTTGTAGTCTTCTATAGCAGGTTGCCATTCTCTATTGCTGAATAATCATGGATTGCTGAGATTTGTAGTCTTCTATAGCAGGTTGCCATTCTCTATTGCTGAATAATCATGGATTGCTGAGATTTGTAGTCTTCTATAGCAGGTTGCCATTCTCTATTGCTGAATAATCATGGATTGCTGAGATTTGTAGTCTTCTATAGCAGGTTGCCATTCTCTATTGCTGTATAATCATGGATTGATGGGATCGGTAGCCCACTATTGCTGGTTGGCCTTCTCCATTGCTGAATAATCATGGAATGAGTTACAGTTCTTCATAACTATTAGGAAACTGCCCTAAAATCATTAGTCTGTATTGTTTTAGAAAAAATGTCACATGTCCCTTTAAGAAAAAAGTATCGGTAATTGGTATCAGCAAGTACCAGTGGCGGAACTACCGCCGTTGCGGCCAGTGCGGGAGCACTTAAGGCTTCCCCGCTACGCTAATAGCGTATCTTTTCAGAAGCTGCACACAGCGCATATATGAGGGTAGCATGCAGTAGATATATGCAAAAAGTTGAAGAAGAAAAAAAACCCTGCTTTAACACGGTTTAAACTAGGGATGCACCGATATCGGCCGAAAATGGCACTTTTGGCATAATGCCGAAAGAGCCATGTTTCGGCCGATACATCGGCGCATCCCAGGTTTCTTTTCTCCCCGCTGGGCGCTGTTACTGCTTTTAACAGCAGGCGATTGCTGTGTAACTTACAAATGATCTGGTGTCTGAACAGCCGCCGGATCGTTTGTACCGTGTGGTACCCCCGCAACGGCCACTGGGTCGGTGGGTCTCCCCGCAATGATCAGAGAGAGATTCAGCCTCTGATCTCTCCTCCGATCACTGGAAGCGGAAGTGCTGTGTATTATATCACTTCTGGTGTAACTGTACACAGTCTCCGGCTCTCAGAGCCAGGACAAGAAGTTGGGAAAGCAGATCCAGTTCACTGGTTGCCACAGCTTTGTGATCACTGCGATTACCTATTGCTGTGATCACAGTGCTTATACCCCTAATTTGCTGTTGAGGGTCTGCTTCAGACCCTGAGGGACCCAGCAACAGCATTAACTCAAAGAGCGCTGGTCTCTCCACAGAATAGCGCTCATGGTAGCGCATGACGGGATTATTCCGTCATGGGTCTTTAAGGAACTAAAAGACTGACGGAATAATCCTGTTAAGCAGATGCTTCCCTTTTTTCGCTAATGGTCTGCAGTTACAATGCAGACTGCAGAAACTGTCATGTAAAAAAGTTTGTACACCCCCCCATAAATTGTTGCGTTTTTTAACCTAACTGAACAGGCAAACATCAGCTCAATGCCTACAGATGAAGGTGATATTCTTGAACAAATGACACATAAAACTGATGTGGTGCATTCATTCTCAAAAACGAAATGAACGAAAAAGAACATTGTCATGTATAAAAGCAAGTACACCCCTATATTTACCACCACTTTAAATTCAGGATTCAAATTAGAAACCACTCTTCCAAATTAGGTGCCAATCATCAGAAACCTCCCCAGGGGCATATAGGTGGAACCTGTCTTATTCAAACCTCCAATATCTAGTCTGGTGTTCTTTGTTATTGACATGTGTGGCGTGATCATGCCAAAATCAAATCAAAAGAGCTATCTAAGGCCCTCAGAAAGAAAATTGTAAAAGGTCTAGAAGTCTGGAATGTGATTTAAAAAGGATCACAAAATTATTTGAAATTAGTCATTGCACTATAAGACCCATTGATGCTAAAAGAGGTCCTCAAAAACCCCACCAATTAATCTTGGGATGTGCAGGTAACTCTTGCAACAGTTCATGTCTAAAGTGCATGCATCTACAATTAGAAAGAGATTGCACAAATTTAACTTGAATGCAAAGTGTGTCAGGAAAAAGTTTTTGCTATCTAAAAAGAACATTGAAACAAGACTACTGTTTAAAACTGAACATTTAGGCAAAGAACATGTCGGAAGACATGAGCAAAGAGAGTTGTCACAGTAGTACCTGTTTTGTGCATACTAAAGACAGCACTTCAATCACCTTATGCACATTGTGAAGCATGCAACTATGATGTCCGCAGTTTATCAAAGTGTACTTGATGAGAATGTAAGACCATCAAAAATGGCAAATGCATATTTCAACACAATAGGATTTGAAGCACAAATGTGTAAAGAAATGTTTCATATTGTGGGGTTGATTGCAAACAGACAGTTCTTGAAAAAACACACACAATCATTTCAATGTCTATGTAGGAATGGACCTGTGATGACAGTTTTCAAAGCACTGGGTAAAGCAGGTGGTTTTGTAAGTTTGCTTTGTTTTCTTGGATACATAAATATAAAGGGTTTTCTAAGTACATTCATTTCATCCTTAACTCTTGACAGGTTTTACAACACAGCATGGTATCTAATATCAGATTTGAGTGTTTTCTTAGCCCTCATTCACACGGGTAACGGCCGGCCCGTACAGATCTGTGCTGCGTGCACTGCCGTATCGGGCAGCTCCCGGGAAGGACAGGTGCTGCGTGTGATTTGTATGCAGCAGCCTGTCCGTCTCTATGGCAGTATGCGGCTGTACGCCGCCCTACACTCACCTGACCTGCACGTCCGTACGGGTGTCCCTGCTCGGATGCAGACAGGATCCATCCCGTCAGCGTACGAGTACAGACACCCGCACGGACGTGCAGGTCGGGTGAGCGTAGGGCGGTGTACTCCAAAAGAGAAGGACAGGCTGCTGCGTATAATCACACGCAGTACCTGTTCTTCCTGGGAGCTGCCCGATACGGCCGTGCACGCAGCACGGATCTGTACGGGCTGGCAGTTACCCGTGTGAACGAAGGCTAAGGCAACATTTGCAGACCTTAGGAAGACTTTTGCAAAGGAACACAATCTTACAGGACAACAAACCTGGTAAAAGTAATGGAGGGGGCAGTCTAACAAATATAGGAGTAAAAAAAAAAAAAAAAAATCAAAGTTTCTGTTAAGAGTCCCACCTGTTTCCTTTCATTTTCTCTTGTGTTCCTCATAAGAATCTTGAGAATATCTTCTTCCCGAATCTGCAGAATTTCACGACTATTCTCTTCTGCCTGAGTGAAAAATGCTACCATTATATAATGCTCATCCAGAAAAGTGAAGAACATACATGTCTACTTTATTAAAAGGGAAACTACTGTACATTGGGGTATCCTCAATTCTATTTTAATGTTATATAGTTTTTCTAATGATTTTAATAAAATCTTCCTTTAACAAATACATATTTATTACAGGGTGAACCCTTACGTTTAATCTGCAAAGAATACTAGGTTTTTTACTAAGGCAGTCCAGTGCTACCTGCATGCATTTTGGCATAGCTAACCAATTCTGTACACAGATTGCAGTCAGGGGAGCAGTAAAGAGCAATGAGTATTGCACTGCTAAGAAGAATGACAGCATGAGGATTCAACAAGCAAAATGCCTCCCTGCACACACATAAGGATGCTGGCTTACAGTTCAGCAGAGTGTGTGCCACTACCCCACCTCCCTTATTCCTTGGACCTCACAAGTGAAGCCCATCCTGAGCTTTTTACCTGCTATACCAAAAGTACCTTCCCCACCCAACCATCAGATTACAAACGCAGGTACCTCAGTGTGCATTAGTGAGTTATTGTACAATGTGGTTCACTGCAGCACAGATGCACTGGTAAGGTGTGTTGGGGAGTCATTAAGAATGAAGAATGTGTAGCGCACCTTACCACAGTGCATTGGGGTAAATGGGCCGTAAATTTACATCACTGTGATTCAGCATAGCTTCAAAAGCCCAACATATACTTTTGGAGATGAGGCTAAATTTTGCCTAATAATGTACTAAAGCTATAGGTGCTGGGGACTTCAGCACTGTTTGTATCAGGCAGTGCCTCCGATATTATCCACGGTGGTGGTAGTTAATAGTACCGACACTGAGTGCAAGTGCCTCATTCCAGAAAATCCCTCTGGCAGCTACCAATTAGTAACAGAACAACCTTTACTGACAGTGCCTTTACTTACAACACACTACAAAGCAGTTAATCATTCCTTCATCACGCAAGTAACAACAAAGCTAGTAAAAGACACAGCTGTTTTAGGTATTGCTTTACTCAATGCTTTGAGGGTAGGGATGCCACTCCATAGTATGCACTACTTCCTAATCTAGACTGCTAATCAGTTTTTATTACATGCTCCACTGAAGCTGAACTTCGCTGTAGATAGCAGGGTTATGGGAGTGTGTGTATACTTAAAAAAACAAACAAACCATATATGCTCTTTAAGAGACAATCTTGCTTTGTTCTAGCCATACCTCTTTTAGGAAGTCCTCAACTGTCTCCGTAACTGTGTCGCTGGTTGGAGGATAGGCAATACCCTTCAAAATGGTGTTGAACTGAAAAGTGACATTTCTGCTCTTTCGTTTCTTAGTTCTAGGTGGCTTGGTGTTACGTGAAGCAGTGTAGACAAGGAGGCTCTTATCCTGCAAACCAAGGCTCCTTTTCCTGGGGATCCACAAATCCAAATCGGGAATGGACTTAACCAAATTGGAGATCTCTGCTCCTCCAAATTCATCCATCAGCTCCATGGCTTCATCATCACTCTCGCTGCTGCTACTGCTGCTGCTGCTGCTGATAAAGCTGCTTTCGCTGCTACTGCTGGCGCTGCTCATTTCTTCCTCACTGTCCTTTTTTATTTTTGTCGTCATCTCCTTTGGGGGCTTTTGTGATGTCTTTAGTTTTGGTGGCATTTCTGGTGTCATCTGTTTTAGTCTCAGCCTCCTTCTCTGTAGAAGTTAAAGTTTATCAGCTAACACAAAAACTTCAAGCACAAGTAGAAATAGTGAAACAAATTTAAGCACATCGAAATCCAAGAACAAAAATGTTTATATACTTCAGCTTACCAGTTCATATACGTGGATTAGTTGGGTTTTTTTAGGCATCTTGCCAATAACACAATTCCAGTCCTAAAGTCACAATGGTTACTCATTCAACTGCATCTGTGGAGGAGCACTGTTGTCACCATAGGACAGGACTACAGAACACCACCTCCTCTCTTTAATAACATATGGAGTGTTTTTTTGTAGTCCAAAGAGATAGCTGGCAACAATGATGACTAACAACAGTAAGTAGAAGCAGAGATCACAGAAAATTTATAGCCCACAAGATTTCTGGCAGGATCAACTGGTATTTTTTTTTGCAGTTAGTGACAGAGATATATAAAACACTTCCAATGGTATAATTTAAGAGGCCAAAAGCGAGAAAATAAGGCTGGGTTCACACCTAGGCGTTTTTCCGCGCTTTCGTACTTGCGGAAAAACGCTCAAACAGGGAAATGCCATTATTTTCAATGTGCATGGTTCCCATCTGGGCGGTTTTCCGTGAGTACGAACGTGCGGGAAACCGCCCTACGCCCAAAGAAGTACATGTACTTCTTTGGGGCGTTTTGGTCGGACGGTTCCATTGGGATACAGCCCAAGTATCCCTCGGAAACGCGCGGTTTTCGCGCGTCTTTTTTTACCGCGAATCGCGGTTAAAAAAACGCACGAAAAACGTGCATATTCAATCCGCCAAGGTGTGAACTAAGAGAGGATTATAGTTGTTAGGCGGGCCACAGACTGCTCTATTTTTCTCATTCACCCCATGGGCTGAATGAAAAAAAAAAATAGAGCAGATACCTCCATCAACGCTACAAGTGCATTGATCAAGGAATCCCTGCTGTTCCTTTCCTATTCTGACAGCGGCCACCAGCCCCTGTAAGAATACCCAAACAGAACCGTCAGCTCATTGGCTGCTGGCTCTGTTAGTTTGAACATTTTCTTACTGGCTCCTTCGATCAGCTGATTGAGAGATGCCGGCTGAATGGATACATTTTTGGACAAAAAGTATTGATATAGATCAAATCCAAATAACATGCAGCAATACATTAATTAAAACAAATGAAACAGGACATTAAAAAAAAAAAAATAACTTCACAGGCCCAAACCATGCAGGTGTTATGCTGTAATATATCCTTCCCATATTTTGGTGAATAATTCAAGATGTTGGTTAATTTCTCAGTATTGAAGATCTAATTCATTTTATTCTTCATAATTTCAAAACCGATGGTGCTTTTTATTCTGTGATTTTTCAGTAGTTCTCTTAGCGGATATAGAAATGTAAGGAGTACATTCAAAACAATGCCTCCATGCAATCACATTGTTCAGGTATTTTAGTATATGTCCTGCCGAAGCGAGGACTTGTTCAGGTATTTTGACAACCAGTGGGGCTGACTAGCAAGGTACTGAAGCTTGGCCCAGTGGGAGATTCCTCCATCCACACAGTTTAGCGTAGCTGAAAGAATCTATTGCACTTTTTCCATCTGAATATAGAAAATCTGCAGATAATCTATAGGTGTATGGCCAGGTTAACAAAGGAAGACAGACCAGTATAATCCTTAAAAGTGTAGGTGTTTCTTTTAGAGAAATTGCAAAGAAAGCCAAGGAATCAGTGAGTAGTTTCCTACACCTTTAAAAAGGCACTTGTAAACTGGAGGAAATTCTGGCAGACCCAAAGCCACAACAGAATCAGAAGACAAGTTTCTGAGAGTCAACAGCTTGCGTGACAGGTGACTCCCAGGACAACAGCTTCAAGCACAGCTTAACACTGATTGAAGTAAGGGTTTCTGGAGAGAGATATCGTAGACCATGCGTAAAATTGTATTAAATTTATTATACATAAAATTCCTTGTAGTAAAAGCATTGATTTTTCATGATAGCTCATAAAACTCATAAATAGCATTCTTACATATACAAGTTCATTGTCATAGAAGCATTTCTTAGTTATAGTAGCTGGTGCAATTCATTAATAACATTATTAAATACCTACAAGAAGGCAATATTCCAATTTAGACCAACATGATTCATCCCTCGTCCTTGGCTAGCCCAACATACATACATACATTCATTTGATAGATTTCTGACGCCCATCGGCCATGATATGCTCAAATGATAAATTCATTGGTGTGTTCTTCAAACTGTATTCAATATTTCTTTCCAACATGATTCGTTCCCTATGCGTTTCGCCCTCTGGGCTTCATCAGGGGAATTGACTGTCTATCAAAGGGAGGTAAGTTATTTCCGTTATATATAGTTACATAGTTACATAGTATTTGAGGTTGAAGATGACACACTCAGAGATCATGGATAAGGAGGGCCAAGAATGGTCACGTCATATTCAAACAAATACATTGTAATCTGCACACTGCTATACACTAGGTCTAAAAATCAGTAACCTCAGCTGATATTATGCTATATATATTTTCCTCCTAGATCACTGCTCCGAATGGCGACACGATTGGCTCTCTTAATTGCCCAGGACATCCCTCCCCTAAAGGCCCCGGGGTCCCTGTGGAGATGATGGACGATATGTGATGGGAAGGCCTAACCTAGCCACCCATCCCTTGTCTGTCCCCACTGCACTTATCCATCTCCAGGCACTCAATACAGGTGAGTGCCAGATGCCCGCTCAGAGAGAGGAGGGAGGGAGGGAGGAGGAGAGAGAGGGGGGATATCCGCACATGGGATTAATCCCAGGGATGCGTTTCCCCATCCACTACACATGATATATAACGGAAATAACTTACCTCCCTTTGATAGACAGTCAATTCCCCTGATGAAGCCCAGAGGGCAAAACGCGTAGGGAACGAATCATGTTGGAAAGAAATATTGAATACAGTTTGAAGAACACACCAATGAATTTATCATTTGAGCATATCATGGCCGATGGGCGTCAGAAGTCTATCAAATGAATGTATGTATGTATGTTGGGCTAGCCAAGGACGAGGGATGAATCATGTTGGTCTAAATTGGAATATTGCCTTCTTGTAGGTATTTAATAATGTTATTAATGAATTGCACCAGCTACTATAACTAAGAAATGCTTCTATGACAATTAACTTGTATATGTAAGAATGCTATTTATGAGCTATCATGAAAAAATCAATGCTTTTACTACAAGGAATTTTATGTATAATAAATTTAATACAATTTTACGCATGGTCTACGATATCTCTCTCCAGAAACCCTTTCCTCCACGTTTTTTCTCATGTATTACTTACTAGGGGGAGAGATTTATGAAAGGAGCCAGGGTGGAGGTGACCCACAAAACTTTCTTCTTTCTACTGATTGAAGTAAGCAAGTCTCAGTTTCAACCGTGAAAAGAAGACTTTGAGCTACAGGTGTGACATGTTGAGTGGGAGTAAGAATGGCAAAATAAGAAAAAAAGAGGCTTGCCTGGGCCATGCAGCACCGCCATTGGAGTACTGAAGACTGGAAGCTGGTCTTTTGAACCGATTAATCAAAATGTGAGATCTATGGTTCATCACACAGGCTTTTTGGTGAAAGGATGGTTCCTCGGTGTGCAACACCAACTGTCAAACATGGAGGAGGAAGCATGATGGCCTAAGGGCCATTTTGCTGGATCAAGAGACGGCGACTTGCACAGAGAGACTGACATCCTGAATCCAAACTAATACCACAGTATTTTGCAACACCATGCAATACCCTCCGTTGTACACCTAGTTGGTCAGGGGTTCATCCCACGGCAAGATAATGACCCAAAACATACCTTCAGCCTGTGTCAGAGCTACCTTAAAGAAAAAAGAACAAGATGGCAGGCTTCAAATCATGGAATGGCCAACACCACCTCCAGACTTAAACCCCATCAAGCTGGCTTGGGATGAACTGGACGGTGATGGGGAAAGCAAAGCAACCTACAAGTGCAACGCATTTATGGGAACTCCTGTAACAGTGTTGGGAAGAACTTTGCGAACAATATTTGATTTCCATTGTAGAAAGAATGCCACGAGTGTGTTTCTGGCTGTTATATGTACAAAAAGTGGCTACTTTGAGGAGTCAGGAATTTAGATTTCATTTTGTTAAAAAAAACCTTTCCATGGTTCTTGGTATCGTTTTAAACAGTGGGCGATTGCTGTTCAGATATAAGCGATGTGGTGGCTATATATAGCCACCGGATCGCTTGTGTGGTGCGGCGGAATGTGCGCCGCCCCCCCCCCAGCTACCCTGGGCTGTGCTGTCCCCTGTGCCGGTCTCTGCTGACTGATCGGCCACTGAGCTCTCCTCCGATCACTGGACTGGAATTTTTGAAGTCCCCCGCCCCCCCAATACAACGCAAACCCGGGTGCAAAAAAAGACAAAAATGGCCACAAACATGTTACATATCGTCGCGAATGTCGGAGTGAAAGCAGTAATTTTAGGGCCATCAATCACTGCTAACACTAAACTGATGAGCTGTAAAAGCTTTTAAAAGCACCGCCTATTGGAAATTTTGGGTATTGTAGTTTTACATGCGAACGCAATTTTTAGGCATGACATGTTTGCTATGTATTTACCTGGCGTGACCCCATTTTTTATATTTTACAAAAAAATTGGGTATTATATTCGGTTTCTGTGCAATAAATTACATTTTAGTGTATTTTATCCTAAAAATACTGGTTTGATAAACATTTGCACAAATACCATGCGACATAAAAAAAAAAAACTAGCATTTTTTTATTCTACAGGGCCTCTGCTTTCAGAAAATATATAATTGCTTACGGGTTTTAAGCTGTGTTCTAGGCAAACATTCAGATTTGGCTGATGAATGGTGTATAGGTGAAGCCTTTATTAAGACCACGTGGTGTGCCAATATTTAAATCTGAAAATCCATTTAGATTCCGTTTGTAGTAAGATCTTGTCCAGTCCATGGACCCTCTTTACCGATCCCTGCACTGGCTTCCAATAGCGCAACGTATAAAATTAGAAATACTAACAACATACAAAGTTATTCACAACTCTGCCCCTTGCTACATCTCCAATCTTGTCTCAAAATATCACCCAAAATGTCCTCTCCTTCCAAAATCTCCTGCTGTCTAGCTCCTTCAACAGCTCCCCCCATGCTTGCCTCCTGGACTTTTCCAGAGCCTCTCATATCCTCTGGAACTCCCTACCACAACCTATTCAGCTATCTCCTACTCTGTCTGCCTTTTGGCTTTCCCTGAAAACTCACCTCTTCAGGGAAGCCTATTTCACTTCCTCTTAAAAAATTGTACATCTACTCCTTTAATCAGCCCTCAGTTATTACCTTCTGTACCACTTGCCCCTGCTTGTAAATTGTAAGCTCTCACGAGCAGGGTCCTTTTGTGTGGTATTGTATTATAATTGTACTGTCTCCCTATGTGTTGTACACCGATCAGCCATAACATTATGACCACACGCTAAATATTTAGTAGGTCCCACTTTTGCCACCAAAACAGCCCTGACCCGTCGAGTCATGGACTCCAGTAGACCTCTGAAGGTATTTTGTGGTATCTGGCACCAAGCCATCAGTAACAGATCCTTTAAGTTCTGTAAGTTGTGAGATGGGGCCTCCATGTATAAGACTTGTTTTCCTAGCACACCCAACAGATGCTCGATTGGATCGAGATCTGGAAAATTTGGAGGCCAAATCACACTAAAACTTGTTGTTGTGTTCTACAAACCATTCTTGAACCATTTTTGACGTTTTGGCAGGGGGCATTACCCTGCTGAAAGAGGTCACTGCCATCAAGAAACACCATTTCCATGAAGGGGTGTACGTACCTGGTCAGCAACAATCTTTAGGTAGGTGGTACATGTAAAAAAAGTAACATCCACATGAATAACAGGACCCAAGGTTTCCCAGCAGAACATTGCCCAAAGCATCACACTGCCTCTGCCGGCTTGCTTCCTTCCCATAATGCATCCTGGTGCTATCTCTTCCTCAGGTAAATGACGCACACGGCCATCCACATGATGTAAAAGAAAACGTGATTCATCAGGCCAGGTCCACCTTCTTCTATTGCTCCGTGGTCCAGTTCTGATGCTCACATGCCCATTGTAGGGGCTTTTTGTGGTGGACAGGAGTCAGCATTGGAACCTTGACCGGTCTGCCGCTATGCAGCCCCATACAAGAAGATGGTGTGCGATACTTTCTTGGATGAAACTGATAGATATATATACAGTATATCTATATCTACATATATTTTCTCAACAACAAACCAAAATCTAAACCACACAGAGTATTCCAGCCAGCGTTACAAATACAGGAGGGAAGAAGAAGCTGACCACTGAGGAACAAAACATTCTCATACCGTGAAGTAGCCTGTTATATGCTTCCATTTGCTGAGGCACTGTGATCCAGTCCGGTGAGGCAGCTCCTTGCTCACTTGTGCCCAATGACCTGCAAGCAGGAAAAAAAATACCCAAATAAAAAGGAACATAATATCATCAGTCTAGAAGTTACAAATCACTCTCAGTAAGTGCAGATGACGGTAGAAACCACTGTTCATCAGAACTGAATTATACCTGGTTTGTTATGTAGTGCACACAAGAGAAGGATGTTTCCACACATGCTTGCTTTTTCCTGCTACAAACCTAAATCTTTCTGGAGCAGAACAAGCCTTCTTTCAAGCATTGCCTCCACAAACAAAAGGGATACACTGTACAAGTAAATAATGATTTATCTGACACATTTAAGGGATTTACAACATTTAACCGTGTCCTACAGTGCAAGTGTAAATTTGCAGAAAACACGCATAAGGTCGGCATCTTAAGGGAGAGAAACTCACCAACACCATATTTTGATGTAAGTTCAAGAAGTTTCTCCTTCTCTTCCAGGCTCCATTTACCCTTCTTAACATCCTTGTGAAGGCCTTTGAGGTACCTGCAGGATCAAAAATAAAGCAATTTCAATGGCAATGCCAGGAAAGCTGTAATGTCCACTGCCTGCATAGAAACCATTCTTATTTCATGTGCTTCCATTAATTGCTTTTATCAGGTTTACCCCATGCTATATGGCTGCTTTTGCCTGGAGAGTGAAACTGCTGCAATTTCTCTACATGTCACTGCTATTTACATTGTATTGGTTCCCCACCCAGGCCCCAATAGTGCACATTGTTTTCACATAACCAGGTAAGGGGCACAGTTGTATTAATTAGATACAATATATATCAAAGTATCTCTGGCTAAAACTTTTGTTAAGGAAACATATACCGAGGAAAAACTAGACATAGATGATCTGGTCCCAAAAATGCTACTTGTCTGACTGTCTCTGGCTTCAAATATTGTCACCAAGGCAGAACAAACATGCAGCTGGTGACATCAGCACTCCTGATGTATGGGCTTGTTTTAGGCCAGTAACATATGGATCAGCATGACAGTTGGGTATTAAGAGAAAGGTCAGCAATGACAGCTTGTGTACACAACTTAACATAACCTTCCTTAAAATGCATTCAGTGGTGGCAGCAGCTGGACTAAATGAAGATGAATTGTCTTGACGTGGATAAACACTAACTGAATAAAGAAAAAGAGATCACCACTGGAGGCTAACTGCCATACATAACATGTGGAGAATGCAGGGAACCAATACACATTGAGGGGAATTTATCAAAACTGGAGCAGACAAAATTTGAAGCAGCTGTGCATAGCAACCAATCATCATCATCATCATCATCATCTCGCTTTCATTTTCAAATCTCAACTGAACAAACTGAACAGAGAAGCTGATTGGTTGCCCTGGGCAACTGCTGCTGATTTTTTCTGCTCCAGTTTTGATAACTTCCCCTCAGTGACTTCTATACATGTTCAGAGGAACTCTTGAAACTATTATAAATATGATATACTATTAATCACTGACTCTGTCTCACCTCTCTCGGCACTGAACATCACTCCTTCCTGGAACCTCAAACCGAATTTTATACCAATCCTTTTCACCATGTTTAGCCACTGCTTTTAACAACATCTGAATTGGGGCAAAAAGAAAATGAAAAAAAGACCTTTACACTCTCAGCATTAATGTTCTGTTATTAAAAGAAAACTACTACTTCTGCAAATACAAGCACAAATGCAACCAATCAATGAACATGTAATGCTACCCAGCATGCACCAAAACTGTGCTAAAAATCAGAAACTTGGCTTGCTTTGTCATAATTGGAGTTCTCTGTAATCCACTAAAGCCAGAATCCAGACAGCTCCTTACATGATGACTAGGAGTGTACTAACAGAATCCTGTGCAGTGTAACATCCTTTTTCCACTTTCTGAATCACTAGTCACATTCAAACTTCCAAGGCAGGTTGGAATCCTGTTAGTAGATATATTTAATCTGTCATTGCTGTCACCAGATATAGAATGTTAAAACTACAAAGAAAACCCTCAAGTTTACCCTCCTTGAAATCACAGGATAGGGCTTTCCCAGACTTGTTATCTGCTACTCATGTGATTGGCTCTCTAGCTCTGCAAGAAGTCTGCACTAAACTTCTGGCATCTCAACAATGTTGTTAAATGTTTACTGCATTGAAAGTTTTTTTTATCTTTATCTTTTTGGAGAAACTTGCAAATACAGTATAAAGTGAGGACATTATTTATGTGTTTTTCAGTGAACTCTGAATTACCACTAATTTAGGTATAGAGTTTGAAATCCCTTCACTCCATGAAACCTTCAGAAGGTGCCGTCACCTCATTCCTCGCTGGTGCTCTACTTTAGAGATGAGAGTAATATGGCTGACGTATGATTGAGGCACTCACCTCATCTTCCTCTTTGCTCCATGGACCTTTCCTCAAACTGGGATCCAGGCACTTTGTCCATCGATATAGAAGCTGCAAACCATCTCGACCCTCCATAAAATAATAAACTAGAAAAAAAAAGAAAAAAAAAACTTATAAATAAATATATTTAATGTCAGTCCTCCCCCCTTCCTTTTCACATCAGTTCCTCCTTCAAAATAGGAAACTTGCCTGCACCATGGAAAGACATGGCACTGTGTAAAAATTTAGAGACACTTCTGAGGAAGCCAAAAGGCACCCTGTTTGAAACAGGCTGACTTAAAGAGCTGATGCATGACCAGGCTTCTCTTATCTTGGAGAGAGATTCCTTTCAGCAGGAGGCAAATTATTTATATGCAAACATGGCTGCCCTCAGTTGACAGGACACAAGGCATTTGACACTCACTTTTGTTATAAGGGATGTGTTCCCCAACCCTCATTCGCTGGACAAAATGCGTCAACATCTCATCTTCCTCCTTGGTGAACTCACTCCGTTTGAAGCCTTTGTTAGTAGACTGGAACATCTGAAGACACTGGAACGCTGTACGGTTGGTCTGTAGACAGAAAAGCATGAACCACCAGAGAGAGATTTACTCATCTGGTCAACACCAATATTTCAGTTATGAATGAGAGTTGGAGGACCGAGTTACCCACTGGCTTTGTATATCTTAATGGGACTACATGGCTGAGATCATCCTATGTCTGTTTTAAGTGATTCATGATTCTGCATCTGCCTAGGACTAAAACATCTTTTAGATTATTACATAACCTTTAAAGCCAAAATGTCAGCCACTTGAAACTTTCAAAAGTAAAAACCCTGCTTAAGAAAACATACCACAAAAATACCACCACTGCAACTACGTTCATAAGCCAGAAAATCATATTTTGTGCGCCCTCTGCAGGTTTCTCTTTGTTCCTGCGGCACTGACAGCTGCTATCCTCACATTCAATGAGAATGTCCTTACTGGCCACTTTTCGCATTTTCACTGAATAGAGGAATGATAGTAATCAAGGCTTAGCCGAGTCAGTCAGACAAAGAGGGTTTTACAGCTAATAAAGGCAATAACAGCCATCTTGCAACATTAGCTTTTAGGCAGGTCTTTTACGTAAAGGTTCAAAATGACTGACCGTTTTACTTTAATAGGCTCATATGTCATAACGATTGAGTTTTGTTTGTTTGCTGAGCTCAACTGTGGGAAAAAAAAATACAGATTCCAGTAACAATCTGAGCGGCTATATTTTCGCCTGTAATTGCTGAGCACTAACCCCCAATTCCTGCGCGATCGCCTGCCAGTCAACAAAGTTGTGATCTGTTGCGATCTCCTTTAGTTTTTCAATCTCTTCTTCTGTCCAGTCCTCTTTGTTGACGTGCGGGTGCTCATAATTCTGCCACATTCTGCACAGCCGATCTGAGGTGTGAACTTCTTCAAACTGGATGAGGGATATTGGGTGCAGAAACAGAAAATTCTTACATAACATAACTTAAAGCGGACCTTCACACTCACAAATCAAATTCTACCAATGCATCCCTCTATGCATGATGAAGAATAACAATAATAATAATAATAATAATATTATAGACATGTCAGGTGTAGAAATTATGTGATTTTAAAATACTTACACTTGCAGAGCATTCACTTCCTGCTTTCAAAGGGCAAAATGACTTCAGTTTGTCAAAGCAATGCACACTGGCATCGCCTTGTCATCAGCAGAGCATTGCTGGTAAATCTCATCAGTAATCTCACGAGATCTCAGGGAAAGGCATTTTCCTCCCCTGAGATGATGTGCATGGTCACATGTCCTAGTCACATGTCTAGTGACATGTGCCATAAATCCAGGAAGCAAAAGGAGAGCTAGTAATCTGCCCTTAGTGAACATGGCTACTGCCAGAAGACTGGGGAAGAAAAGAGAAATAAGGTATGCACAGAATACAAAGCCTGCAATTATATAGAAGTATGTGTACACTGTCATTACTAAACATTTCTAAAAGGTGTGTTTGTTGTTATTTTAAATATATGGGTAAAGGTCAGCTTTAAAGTGAACCTATCGTTAAACTGAATTAACTACTCTGACAAAACTTCCTAAAAGCCTCTCCTTTTGTCTCAACACCTTGGGGCAGAGGGAGACCCCAAAATTGGAGCTCTGTGATAATCAGCCAGTGCAATGCAGACAATGCATATGACCGCTTCAGAGACTTGTAATGAGGTGGGAGTATGGTGATATTGAATACTAGGGTTCTAAAGTTAGGGAACACAATGGGACAGCCAAGAGAAGATTGCAGGGGAAAAACAGGAAATAGGCAAACATTTGGTCATGATCGCTACTAAAAAGGAAAATCAGTGTTCAGAATAGCTGATCCTTCCATTCTGCAGAGATCACCCAAACAAAGTTGTATAAGGAGGTTGAATAACTCTGGAAGAGAATGTTGCTTAACCATCTGAATGCAATGAACCATTCATACCAGCCATTTAATCAAAGCAGTGTATATATCAGTCTTACAGTGAGACACACCTGTTTAACCCCTTCGTGACGGGAGACGTACAGTGTACGTCTTGTCACTTTGTGCCTATATGACTGGCCACGTACACTGTACGTGACGAGTTATATCAGGCTTTGTAATGCCGGTATTTGCTGATTCTCAGCATTTAACAGTCATTCATTAATGTCTCAGTATTGAGGCATTAATTAATGAAATAATTAAGCTTTTTGTAAAAGCTTCTTCCTTTCATTAATGAAAGAATGAAGCCGTTACATGCAAATAGAGGACCGCAATTTGCGATCCCGTATTTGACAGCTCAAAATAGCAGAGAGGCAGCAGTGACTCACCTCACCTCTCTGCTATTTGTTTTGACAGCTCGAGAGCTCGATGTTTGGATACATTTCACTGAAAGGATAAAATGTATCTTTTCAGTGAAATGTATCATTTCTGATCGTCTAGGCACGATCAAAGAGCTTTTAGTGAGATCTGAATCTGACTAAAGTCAGGATCAGTCTCTAAGGTTATTATTAGCTGTTCCTAAGTTTGGATCAGCCTAATAGCCAAAAATAAAATAAAAAAGTTAATTTATCAAGCTGTCATAGTGATTGCTTGATATAAACTGACAAGAAAAAAAAAAGTTTTTTTATTTTATTTTTATTTTTTTTACAAAGTGTAAAAAAATTAAAATAAAGTGTAAAACAAAATTAGGAAAATATAAATTATATATAAATATATTTTTTATACTATAATTAATATAAAAAAATTCTAAAAAAAAAAAAAATAATCAAAACTTGTGAAAAAAGTGTTTTCTTCTAGTTTTTTTCCTCATTTTTTTTATTTTATTCAAACTAAGTGAGGGGTTAGGTACACATATGTGATATAATTATATAGCCCTATCTGTCCTCTAAAAAACAATATATAATATGTGTGGGTACATTTAGTAAGAAAGTATATTACTGCTGTGGAAGAATCACACAGCAAAAATGTAAAAAATGTGTCAGTCATTTATGAACAGAACCTGAAAACTAGCTCAGTCATGAATGGGGTTAAAAGCTTCTGTTTTTGGATCATGTGAGGAACACGCACAATCCATGCAGATAGCACTTCAGTGAGAAAGACCCAGAATGCCAGTGATCCCAGACTGCAGTGCTGAACACTGTAACATAGCATTACAGTCCTATCCTATATCCTTTACACACACACATACATTTTTCTAAGCACTTTAACAGCATTCTAATTTACACCAGCTACACCGCAGGTCCACAGTCCGCTATATGCAATATGTGTACTATTGTTAAATTATATTTTCTACATAACTGGCTCAAAAATTTAATAGACCGCTCACAGTGCTCATTTACAGATAAAGTTTGCAACACCCAAACATTGGTAAATTGAAGAATACTTACATTGATGTTGGCTATTTTATCCCAATCATGGGCATCATGTCTCTGTCCCAGCAAGGCATCCTCCTGAAGTTGGCTAAATATGATCAAACAAAACATTGTAAATAAAAAAACAGTAAACTGGAGAATTAAAGCTCAACGCCAGGCAACGTTTTTAAAAAAAAATCTTTGATTCTCACGTTAAAGCTAAACTCCAGATATAGACATTTATATATACTTACATTGGTCCAGCTTGGCACAATGTAAGTATTAGGTATATATAAATTATCCCTGATGGGGCCATGGAGACCCTCTAAAACATTGTAGTAGCCAGCGACCTTACAGTGATCTGTTTGGTCCTGTGCTGCTGCTGTGCTGAGCAACTTCCCCCTCCATTGATAACACACAGCAGGTCACTCGCTTGGCACAGTGGCCATTTTGCAAGTGCCCAGTATTCTTCTCAATGCATACAAGGGTTCTCTGATGACAACATTACTGCCCCTTCTCCAATCAGAGAATGCCTAATATCTCTAAAGAAAAATACTAGGCATTCGCTGAATGGCCTCTGTTCCAACCCACTGTGTTTTGACAGAGGAGGGGAAGTCGCTCAGCATATTTGCTGTAGGACACTGTGGGGTCAATTCCCTAAACGTTTTCTCATGAGATAAAATGATCATGTGACCTTTTTATAATGAAATATCACGAGATAAAAACAAAAGTAAATTCATTAAAAATATCTGAAACAAATAAAGCAAAAACTGAACAAGGAGATACATATATCACATGAAATACATTCAATTCACCAAAAAAAAAAAGTATGAGGTAATCATCACCTGGCTGAGGCAGTCGGTCAGCCTGTGTGAAAGTGTTCAAAACCTCCGAATTGAGGCAATAGAAGTATTTGAGAAAACATTGCTGGAATATAAATTCACCCAAAAGGAGAATACAGAACAGAATGTCATCCTAAAGGCAGGAATGGGACCAAATAAAAAGTGTTTTATATGCCTTGGCTTGTTTTTAATGTTATGGGTGCAAATTACTGCAAACATGTGCCTTTTTTTGACCATATAAAAAAATAAAGGATGAAAAAAAAAACCATACATTTTGCAATCTCATTCAGCAAATAACCCATAGATTTTAGTGAATTGTATACTCAAGAGTTAAATAACTTGAGTTATTTACCTCAAAGTTTCATGAGGTATTTAGCGTTAGTGAATTGAGCCCTGTAGTATCTGTGGCAACTACAATGTTTTACAGGATCACCTTGCCCTGCCAGGGGTGATTTATATATACTTGCATAGTGCCAATCTGGACCCATGCAAGTATATTAAAATTTCTCTAGTTGGAGTTCAGCTTCTACATACTTCTACCATTCTGCATGGTCACTCTTTATGCCCTGATGATGTAATGCTCCCTTGGATGGAGATAGGTTGAGATGGATTTCAGCTGCGGAACTAGGCAGGAATTGTTTTAGGGTATGGCAATCAGGTTATGACCCCAGGCGTCTCTCTCAGACTTAACAGAGAGTGAGGGGTTTAACGCATCATCTGCCACGAAGAATAGGTTTAAGGTTGTGACCCTGTCCCTGTTATTGCAGTCATAACAGGAAGGGATACATATGCATCAACCTATAGAGGGATAAATGTATGAATATAGCAATCCCAGGAGTGAGGGACCTAGAGGGGTTCCAGGAGGTACTAAGGTACAGACAACGTTACATGCAGGCAACAGCAGTCACTTTAGTATATAGCCCGGATAACAGCAAAGTCTTATGGTGGAATGCCTTTCCCCCACAGGGGTGAGTACTTGCGGTTTAAGTGTTGGCGCTTGGAGGTCCTAGGAGCTGGAATGGTGGTGATGGCTGTTGAGTGGCCAGAGATCCTGTCTGCTGCTGTGTAGGGAGGCTCCTGGGGTCTGAGGGGCATCTGACCCAATAGTGGAACGCTCGTACAGCATTCATCTTTTACTTTTATCGCCGTGAACGCGGAAGTGGAGTCGCGGAGCGTGACGTCACTTCCGCGAACCACGGTGGAGAGCAAGGAAACTCCCCTTCTAGGAAGGAGACGCCCTACGTGACGCGGCCGATGCGTTCCACACTGGGACGCAGACGGCTCGTGAACGGTAAGAACATTACAGATGAAGAGACCCTGCGTGGTCTCGAAACGCTGGCTCTTAGACGTCTGTGTGACGTCTATGTCCAATAAATGGACATGTTGAATTATTCTACTGAGTGCTGGTGATTCCTCTTCCTACAGCTTCTACATCCAACATTTTTTTTTTTACTTCAGAAGCTTTCTAAGCCTTGCTGAGTGCTTCTGATTTTTACATTGGGGAGCCTGCACTTTCAGCTCCTTGCTGCATCGGAACAGGGTCTAAAAACGACACTGTTTCCGGAGTTGTGCCTCTGTCTTTGACTCCAGTGCAAAATATAAAATAAAAACTGGAACAAGAAATATTAAAACTGCAGCAGGAAAAAAAAACAAAGGGGAAAAAAACAACTGGCAATAAGGAAGGCCAGCAATGTATCTTATAGAAAAAAATACCTGTACATATCTCTACGCCACTATAATAGAACGACAATCAAACACATTTTACTTAAGTTTTAAATTAGGCAATGTAGTGGTCTATTGTTCCATCGGGTCTTCCCTGCTGTCAGAAAGCCCACTGGAGACATTCCCAATATACAGTGCTGTGAGCCAGGTGACAAGAAAAGGAAGATTCAGTGGTGGTGATTAAGCATGGAACGTTGTGTCCTGATCCAAGGAATGCTCCTTGGGTGGAAATGCTGGCCAAGTGCAATGTCATTTTCCAAACCAATGTATTGGTGATATGGGGATAATCTGCTGAATCAGGCATATGAACCTTTAGTTGTTCTTCACAAAAATAAAAAAATAGTAATAAATTCTTACTTGATCTCGTCTATTTCTCGCTCAGCTTCATGAATCTGCTTTGTTAAAATTTTCTTCTCAATGTCGCTTTTGGTGTTCTGGTGCTTCTGCTGGAGATATTCCACCCTGCAGAGAGACATTCCCAGTTAATACTTACAAGGAATCTATTTTAATTTACAAAAGCATACCAGTTGCTTAAAACAAATAAAACATTCAATATCTGGCACTGGAAAATCGTATACAACGCCAAACATGACCTGAGAACATGTAATACAGGGGTACAGGGTCAAGGGAAGTAGCAGTAGCAATGATCTTAAAGAGGAACTCAAGGCAAAGATCTACTGAATACAACATTGAAACAGTATATATAAAACATTTTACCTCACAAAGTACATTTAATTCTGTCCGGCTGGTACTGTAATTTTCACAGTATTGGCATGTTGGTGACCTCATTTTTTTCCATTGCAGTTACAGAGAACCTATCACAATAACAACATAGAAGCTGCCACAGATCACATGTGTTCAAAGGCACAAGCCCCACTACTCTAAAGCTGGCCATACATTGTTATATTTTCTTCGTTCAACATGCAGGCTAAACAAAGAAAATATAACAGATTCCTCCATCAATGCTTACGAGCTGGTTTAATTGTATTCTGACAGCAGCCAGCACCTGCTGGTTGGCTGCAAGCTCCATTCGGCCGAAGATTTTCCGCCTGGCTCCTTTGAACTTCTGATCGAGGGATGCCAGGCCGAAGGGTGCCGACACCCACTGTGCAAATTCTGCCTGGTTTCATCAAGAACCAGATGAAATTTGCCTAGTCAATGGCCAGCTTAATCATTATACGTTAATGCTTAGTAAGTCACTGATTGTTTTCATTTGAACAATACAGATTGCTCAACGACCTGTCCCCAGGATTCTGCAATGCATTGGGGCATAACTGGCTGGCAATGATGGCTCTCCTTCACTCAGAAGTAAAGGTTTACAGAGGATTATAGGAATCTTATGATGTCAAGCTAAAATGCAGGTAATTATAACAACCGAACAAAACAAAAGGTTATAATTAGAGGTGCACCAAAATGGAAATGTCAAAACCGAAAAAAAAATTATTTAAATTTTTGTAATATTTTATTTTTGATAAACTTT